ATAAACGGCAAAAATGGATTCAGCGTAAAATAAAGAATAAGGTATCATTCACTCGCATGATCTTGATATAAATTATGGAGATTACTCCGTGTGTTTCGACCGCAGCAACGCATTGAACTATCTCACAAATGTATTCCTACTTGATCATGGAAACGTCTCGTTGATACTATTTTAAATCATACACAAAGCAGGTATTATAAAGAAGCAACCCATTTCATAATAGCTTCATCCATAACCATATCAAATCACACTTTATTGATATCAAACATCAAGAACTAAGTACGTGAATTTCGAGTCATTACAGTCAGTAAGACTCAAAAAAATGTGATCACGTTTGTGCCCATGCCTCACTCTTACTAAAATACTATAAGTTACTTTCTCAGTGATTGCATCACTTAATCTGACAATTGAAAAAGTGAAAACTGAACAAATAACTTATCCACGAGCTGTGACTCACTGGTCTCGACTTTCAATCAGTGGGCCACAGGCTCAAACCCAGCTCTACCTATCGAGTTTTGAACGAATATATGGTACAACTAACCTTCACACAACAGGGCACCGTTCCCTCCCTGGTGCGGGAATCCGCACTTCGTTACTGCGCTGAGTATATTCACACAGTCTCGAAAGCAAAAACTATAGATACGTATTACCTACTCGCGGCTGGTAACTGTGATAGCGACAGTTGTCAGATTTACTTAATAAACTAGCCCATTGAAGTTATACTTCATCAAACATTTACCGTTTTAATTTTAGCCAAGCTACGGGGGTGAACAGAAAACACTGACCTACTATTGTATTAACCATTCTACTACAGTGGAGAATCCGTAGTGTTGTTTTTACCCAGGTGTGATGGTAGTTAAGTATTCCCAGCAAACGGTCGGTGTTTCAGTGTTGTCTTATTTTGCCAAACAACAATTCTGCGATGGCATGCAGAATCCATATCCAGCCGCAGCATAATAATTGCATACTTTAATGCTATCTATATATCAGTTAAAATAAATAGGCCGCGGTACCAAGGTTAGGTTCTCTCTTCGGACGAATAAGTTATGAATGAGCCTACCATGAAGAAAACCCTTGGAAAAGTGGAGTAATCAACTAGAAAATAGTCCGAAAATGCTAAGGTTTCTAGATACATAGATAGGTTAGTACTTTGTCAGTAGCTGACCTTTAAATAAACTTTTTGTTTTACCGCTTCCTCAGGTTTTAGAGATTCCGGGACTCTGAGGAATCGGACTATAATACTACAGGTCACCGAATAACACATCCTAACTTCGGTTTATCGATGAAAAGCTACAAACTCGAAACACCTATTGAAGTTTCGGAAAGTCATTAGCCGTTACAGGATAGAAGTAGAGCGAAAAAAGTACAAGAATCTATAAGCGGTTGTGGAGTAATTACCCTAATGACCATTTACTACGAGGCAGTACCAGCTATAAGTTCAAGTAAAAGCACTGTTTGGTTCGACGACCAAGTATATTAAACTGCTCCTTCTGGAGCACAACACCGAATTTCGACAGTGTTAGTTCATGTGTTCGCTGACGCTAGTGAACGCAAGAAATGCTTTCAAGTATGATTATTAGTGTTAACTATGTGTATATAAAAGGAGCTTAGTACTAGTTTTCATCCTGGTTTATTTTGGCATCAAACCAAATTAGCTGTAGAACCAATGATTGAGGCAATCAGAAACCTACAACTATAACCAAGGAAATCTCAGTGAACTCTAGTAGTTTTGCTCTTAAATAATCCAAAGTGATTCATTTACGTAAATTACGAGGCTAGGTGCAGCTGGAACATATGCTGGAAAAATTGATCTAATAGTCATGAGTAGCGATGATTGGCAAGGGAGGAAGACTATAGTTTATAACTGGCAGTTATATATATATATATATATATATATATATATATATATATATATATATATATATATATATATATATATATAAGGGTGATTGGGTTAGTGAGATTAAAAGTATATCACCAAGACCGATTGACCATTGCTTAACCCTCATAAAATGTTTAAGTGGTAAAAATAACACTGAGCAGTTCACTTAGTATTTACTTACGCTTACTAATCCGTAAACTAACTGAGATACCATCACTAATCCATTCAACCAACAAAATTTGCAGTCTAGCAAAGTTTGTGGGGGCGAAAATTGTTGGCGAATAACTTCTAAATATCCTTGAGAATGAAGTATTAGGTGAAATAAATTAACTTGATCATTTAGTTTTCGAAGTTTCAATTTCAAACTTATGGAATACCTGATTAAAACCAGCAGAAAAGCGAAGTCAGACAAATATCATGCATAATAAAAATTTACTGGCCAACGAACAGTTCGTTAGTTATCGCTTCTCCATTTTTACAACACCAATAGCAGCTAGTATTTCTGTTTCTGACTTCTACCTGTAGATTTTTTACCAGCCTAAACACATAACATATACTCTTATTAGGTGGGGACGCTGAAGACAGTCTCTAAAATACAATGAGTGGTGAGACGGAACTGTTTGGTAAATCCTTCAAATCTCATAAAAAAATTGAAACAAAACGCACTCCACAACCTCGTGCACTTTCGTGCGGTAGTCGATGAGCCAAATCCATTGTGTCAGGGTGAGTGATACTACGTGGCTATCTAAACCTCGGCAAATGGGTTCGAAACCATGAACCACTAGTTCAAAGGCATCTACCTAAGCCAATGTGATGCAGCTCCACCAATACAGAAATAACATACTAAAAAACTTGGATTCGTACTTTGACTCCTTCACATATACCAGGAGAAATATTTGAGAGTCAACGTTCAATCTAACAAAATGAATCTTCAGACCAAACGAGCTGGTTATGAAGCCTAAATGAAACTTACTAACCTATCTTACCGGTGTTGCTAGTGACAAAAAAATTCAAAACAAGTAGGGGAGAGTTTATTAGAGGAGTTCACTGCACTTTCAAGTACCAAGAATTGTTAAATGCAAGCATTTTTTAGTTGATTACTACTCTCACAGAACTGTATACTACACTCAGGAACTGTGGGTCGCTGATACAAGCCCTCTAATTTCAACCAGTGGGTTACGCATTCAAACCACATTTCATCTTGGGTTTGGGCAACTATATGGTACTATAAGCATACGCATTAGGTGTGGATCTGTGCTTACTGTATAAAGTTGCTGAGTTACGTTTCGTTTTGTCTATTATAATTAATTATTCAAAGTGTCTTTTATGCCTACTATAATTGACTTAAAACGAACAAAATGAGCAAGCAACCTATTTTTACGCATTTCCGAGGTAAACAACGTGCTATCGAAGAATCGAATAATCGAACAAGTGACTAAAGCACATGGTTCAACACTAATACAGTTAAATTATCTGCGAAACTGCAAAGCTACATTCAGCTTCCCGCCAATGATTTCTCTGATTAACTGAAGATTCTCTGTAATAAAATAACATGAATATGACTAGTAATGGCAACTAGAAATACTCTACGCTGATATAGCTTACAGTTTCTAAAAGGAAACCGTAAAAAATCCCAAAGATGGCGGAGATGTGCACACTAGCCCCACGGTTGCTAAAGTCATTGATGGAATTTAGTTGTCTGCGCGATATTGCTCGTGTATTGTAGCAAGATGCAGAATGTAGGTACAGTTATAGGCGAAGGTGGTGAATCCATGAGGTTGAAAGGCGACTGGGATGTGTGCAACACATGCTGAGCCCCAGTAAAATATAATAACCAACGAAGAACTAGATTAAGAGAATGGAAAGAATGGGAAAACCAAGAAATGACACCAGTATATGAAGTCAGTGGTTGCCGGCCTGAGTTGTGTATAGAAGTGTTGGCTGACTGATATTTATGCGATACAAGAATCAATAACTAGAGACCCTAAATGCATATGTGTATTCGCCCTTCATAGCTAGTCGCGGTTAGCTGTATCTAGCGCAATTCACAGGTGATGAAAAGGGACAAATCTAAATGTATTTTATACCAAGTGACCTAAATATACCTGTAAGTTATGCATAACAGATATACCATTAAATAAACTCACAAATGGATGGATGTTGCTAGACGCAATCTCATTTGAAGACTGAGTTTTGAATAAGATACAGGACTTGTTGAGAAAATCCTACAGCTAGTTATACTTGAAGTAATATGGTGAATAGTAAAATATGAAAACGTATCCATTAAAATTAGCCATATTTACTGTGGAGGGGTATGATACAACCCTATTTTAAAACTCGAGTAGGCGGAGCTGGGGAAACCTACACTTCATAGCTGATGGCAACTTCTTACCGTCAGTAGAAAAGATGACAAGTGACGGTGTAACGCTTTTGTGGTCGGACACACAAACAATGGAGACTTCACGCAATCAAACGGCTGGTGTGGATAGACCAAAAGCAAGTAATATGTTCAGAAATAAAATCAAGCAATACCACAGCCCCGAGAAGAAGCTTATACGTATTTTACCTTCGGACAGAGTAATGGTCATACTGAAGACAAATTTGATAGTTTATTTTACTCTTGAATCAAACTCCATTTCAAGTAGTGGTTTTTGAGATCAGCCGATCACTGATATATATATGGGTCTTGATCACATACCCACGAACTGGTGTTTTGTATGCCTATTAACCACTTTTCATTTCGATAACACATCGCACGAACATTTACGACTGAAATCAGTGCTTGGTTTTTGTCAAAATAAACCATATAAACAACGAAAATATTTGTCTTAAACGTGATCGCTTGGCCCGTCTTGTCGCTAAACATTAGAAATATGATTAGAGTCAGTGACCTCCGGAATTAGACTGACAGGTGCCATGCGTGAAGGCAGAGAATTGACTCTTCTGAAGTGCAATAAATAAAAACAGCAGCAACAATATGAAGTATGAACATCAAGCACTGGATCTTGGTTAGGAAATACTTAGTGACTCCATGTTAGGTGTTTGAGTTAAAAATCAAACAATGAAATAGAAAATCTCGTGAACTAATAAAACCTGTAACGAAAATAAGATAACTAACTTCATCTCAAATTCACTATGCGTATCTGCGTTATCCCGTGGACATAACGCTGTGTTAAGTATCTCCTGTTTGCTAGCTTTGCTAATCTGAGGGCATGGTATTTGTTCATTGTGAGGACTTGGAACCGCGGATTCTGTCCCTGATCCATAATCATTTGGGATAAGTAGCGGACTGACAAAAGGAGGAGGCGGGCGCAACGCGTGATTCAGAAGGGCAAGTTTCGATGCAGTGCATGGATTACCTGCCTTTTCCGATAGTTCTTCATCAACAGTCGGTGCCTCAAACATAGTATTCCCCAAAGACGTCGGCGGCCTTTTTCTCTCGTCACTTTCCTCCTCACTATCGGATAAAAGCAAATCTTCCCATAGCCTAAAAGTGCAGTAAGTAACATTATGCCCACAAATCTCACTTATGACGTTCGGCCGGCGTAATAGTTTCTATTGGTAAGTCAGAAGGTTTCTCCATCGTGGGGCGCATTTTTAGCAGTGTTTGGAATCCTGCACTGTTAGGTGATGTCAAGTCATTCGTTATGACCTCTTTGATGTCAGAAACCGGTTGAGGAGTTGTTGGTATTTTTGAGGAACGATCTGCGAAAGGTGGGGGGACGAAACTACAATTTTAGTAGCATACGAGAAAACTTACTTATAACATCCAAGACCTTTGAAGCGTATACACCAACTGATGTCAGTTGGTTCATATCGATAAACTGCTGACCATGGGTCTCTTACCTCTGTACAAATCGAATTAGGAAACGATGCACTACATTACCTAACTCTGTATGTTTAGGCCACACTAGGCCACCTGAGTTACAATTGTTTTGGTCGGTGGAGCTCGAATAACCAAGGACACTCATGAAATCAGGGACGGTCATTCCCATTCTTGAAGATATAATTCGGACATCCCGATCACCATCAGGAGCCTAAATCATTAGCATTATCTCAATATGCTCAAAACCTTAACAAGTTTCAAACAATTAGGTGACATTGTGTTGTTCGATATTGATAGAACCGAACGGTCCATCCTGGTCCATCCGAAACAGCAGGAGTGTCACTAGCACACCACAACTTCAACGGATGTTACAGAAATTATTTTCCACATAAATAAATCATGTCTACGGAACACCCGAAATCATAGTAAAACCCTAAAAGTATAACATCCGATATGCGCGCTTCACGTGTTAGGTAACTTTCAATATCCAATAAAGTTTCGGCAAACTTTAGTAAAGTCTTAAACTCCTTCTCATTCATGTCTGCTTCAGCAGCCCTTTTTAGATATCTACAGGTCATTAAAGTAGCTTCGTGGAGTTCAGACCTGTCAGAGAGTGCAGTCATCCACCGAATAAACAAGCTGATTATTATGAAGATAAATATAATACAGAAATCTCTAAACCACAGCCAGTTATAAGATAGCTTAGTCTTAATCACGAGTTCATCTCAGAGTTGATTCCTACTTTCACCGAGTTAGACAGGTGGGAGACCCTTCAGTGGTACAGTAACGTCATACACTTCCCCAAAATCAATAGCCTAGGGTTTGACGACTTCGACATTGATGCTGACCTTGATAGTTTAACTGGACTCGCTAAGCTGAAGGCACCCGGTCAAGCATCCTCGCCATTTGGCACGCTGTCGTGTTACGTTGCATTGCTCGTATTCGACTCTCTAGCCAGTTAGTTGGAACGCATCGGTATTTTGGCATAACCATCCAAATATACTATTCCATCCGACTACGCTATCGTGTTCTTCCTTGGTCTCGTATTCGTGGGTATATAACAAGTTCGAATAATTAGTGATTGGTCTTTGCGTCTGTCAAGTTCGCACCAGGACAAATCCTAAATTGGTGAGCCCGACGTGATCACATATCCCGACCAATAACAAGTATTGAATTGGTGAGCCTGTTCCATTTTATATTTGTTTATTGTTTTCATTTCGATAACATTTATATATCCATTTACTACACTTTCTCATGTCCGACCACACTCCCAAGCTTATTCGTATTAAGCCGACTACGAACACGATCCAACTCGTGCCATATTGGCCAGACAATGCAGAAACATGGTTTCTGTATGCCGAGGCCGATTTTCGAGAACAGGGTGTCTCAGATCCTCAATCTCGATTTCTTGCTGTCATACGTTCACTACCGCGAGAATTAAACAGGTATGTTACAGCAAACATGTTTAATCCTGAAGTAAGTGACCCTTATGCACTTCTAAAGGCCGCACTCTTGAAGAAAAGCGATCTCACAGATCGCCAACGTCTAGACGAATTCTTCGTAACATCGAGCTAGGCAGCCACTCAGCTACTGAAGTCCTCGCACGCATGCGAGAAGTAATCGGTGCACGAACATTTGACGATGGTTTCTTCCGAGAACTATTTCTCTCGAAACTACCACAACCGGTGCAAACCGTGTTGGTGACACTCCAGTCAGTCCCACTCGACGACCTGGCAGCCTCAGCAGATAAAATACTGGAGATATCCAGCAGACCCGTCTCCAACGTATATTCTATCTGCGACAAAACAGAGCGCCAGGATTCAGAGGTGACCAAGTTGTGCAACTCTGTGAGACGGTTGCTACGATCTCGAAGTCCTAGATCACGTAGCACTTCACAGAAACGCACCTTGGCGCATCGCAGCAAGTCGCGTGGTAGCCCTAAAACGAAACCCAACAGGGTGGAAAACCCTGAATGGTGCTGGTTTCATAACACTTACGGGGATGAAGCCAGAAAATGTCGTAAACCATGCCGTTTTAAGAAGGACCCGAACTCGGGAAACGGTCACGCCGGCACGTGCTCACGGCAACCGTAGCCGGCGGAAAAAGCCGTTTGCTCTACGTCACCGATTAAAACGAAAGTCCGCTACCTCGTCGACACCGGCGCAGAAGTTAGCGTTCTTCCAGCAACGACAAAGGAGCGTCATCTTGACCCATCCTTCAATCTTCAAGCAGCCAACGGCAAGGCAATCGCGACATTCGGGAGACGGTATGCCTACCTCAACTTAGGTTTACGCAAACCTATCCACTGGATTTTCCTCCTGGCAGACGTCTCTATGCCCATCATTGGCATAGATTTGCTAAACCATTACGATCTACTCGTAGATGCTCGCCGTCGACGACTGATAGATAACAGCACAAAGTTATCTATTGGCGGCACCACCTATGTAGGTCCGAGTTTAGCCATCGTTAGGACTAAACAATCAGGCGACGCGTCCTACCAGGCAGTTCTGGAGAAATATCCAGAGTTACAGCAACCGAAGCACACTCTTCCGTGCATAACCAGCAATGTTATGCATCACGTCACAACCACAGGTCCACCTGTGGCATCCAAAGCGCGCCGTCTAGCCCCCGATAAGCTCCAAACGGCGAAAAATGAATTCGACCACATGCTCGACCTGGGCATTATCAGACCGTCGAACAATCCTTGGGCATCGCCATTGCACATGGTTCCCAAAAAGGATAGCAACGACTGGCGTCCAACCGGTGATTACCGAAGGCTCAACGCCAAAACAACTCCGGACTCCTACCCGATACATCAATACAAACCCTCGTATACTTTGCCTTTTTATATCAATTTTTATTTACCATGTAATGAAAATAAAAAAAACGGTAAAGATAAGCGTAAATTTTTATTTTTCGATATGTTTATATATAAATAATTCCCATTTTTACGCAACGTTTTCGTGGTATTAAAGACTTTTATTTATATTCCAGGTGCAACGAGCACTGGACGGAACGTCGAAAGGAACAGATGACCGCGACCGACGTACAATTCCATTTATTGTATTTTATTTATTTAATCGCCACGACACCCTAGAATAAGGTTCAGACAACCAGGGGCCACCTCACGCAGTGAGCCCATCGGAAGAGTTTTACCAGTGGAGAAACCACTGGGTTTTTACTTCCGGCTGGTATCGTCTTAGGGTCCTCACGAACCCACTAGGGGGGGAGTGATCTGTAGCGTCATACACTTCCCCAAAATCAATAGCCTAGGGTTTGACGACTTTCGACATTGATGCTGACCTTGATAGTTTAACTGGACTCGCTAAGCTGAAGGCACCCGGTCAAGCATCCTCGCCATTTGGCACGCTGTCGTGTTACGTTGCATTGCTCGTATTCGACTCTCTAGCCAGTTAGTTGGAACGCATCGGTATTTTGGCATAACCATCCAAATATACTATTCCATCCGACTACGCTATCGTGTTCTTCCTTGGTCTCGTATTCGTGGGTATATAACAAGTTCGAATAATTAGTGATTGGTCTTTGCGTCTGTCAAGTTCGCACCATGACAAATCCTAAATTACTATGGTTGGACCTGAGTTAAGATGTTTCGTACCCACTGGGTTTCCACCATTTTCAGAATAAACGGAGGGGAACATATGCGCTGGCTTGTATTCCCGCACAGACCTAAATCACTGCCTCATTAGACCCATCGGGACCAAGAAATGTAACCAAGCCTTGTTCAAAGGCGTCTAAACTTCGAACTTAGTGTTGTAGAATTAGTGAACGGAGGTCATTTGGGTTCTGTGTCTATCTTATTGGAACACGTTCTGAGTTTGAAATGGTCACACTTATCTTCCCGGTTCTGAAAACCTGAAAGGATAGAGATGCGATTATTAATTAATCTGGTCTCAAGGTAGTATTAATGTGTCTGGTCTAGAGAAAGCTCCTCGAGTACGGCCCATCGGTACCGTAGGACTCGAGGTGTGCATCTGACCTTTTAAAGGTATCAGGGGATGTGACTGTAACAACTGCTGAAGGGAGGGGCCCAACAGTTTACAGCATTGAGTTGGCATGGATCTTTGTGCGTGCTCTATTCTTAACAGGTGACCCCTCAGGTTGCGTTTCCGACGAAAGCTTAGAAGGGATCTGTCAGGATGGAGGGGATTATGGGCGGTGTGGTACATCATGATCATATCCCCTCTGATCCCCGGTATTGTACTGGGTGCAGCCAATGAGCAACTAAGCGGTCTAGGTACGGTTTGTGCCGTAACCCAATCACTTTCCTTGCAGCTCTTCTCTGTTCCCGTTCTAGGATGGCCATGTCCTTTTTCAAGTGTGGGGACATTACAAGCGAATTTTTTTTCTAGATGAGGGCGAATGTACACAGCATACGCTGTTGTGAAAAGGGAAGGAGTTATTCACCCTAAAGTCTGCGAGGGAAACCCCAGGATTCCATAAGCCCTATTGGCTCCAAGGTGGCAGTGGACTGAGGCTTCTAGTGTATCGTTTAGTGTAACTCCCAGATCTTGTTCCATGTTAGAGTGACAGATATTTATTTCACCTGGAGAGTAAGAACTGGGACTGCCTTTACGTTTGTCAACTATCATAATTCGACACTTCTTCGAGTTGACAGGAAGCAGGTTTTCTGTAGTTCAATTAAGGATTTTCGTAAGGTCCTCCTGGAAGAGCGAAATATCCGTTGGTTCCTGTATTTCCCTCCAGATCTTCAGGTCATCGGTATATAATAGTTAATGTGAATTAGGGCCCCCGGTAGGTCACTGATGAAAGCAAAAAACAGTGATGGGCCCAGTATAGGACCTTGAGGCACACCACTCAGCACCGGCAACCGATCAGATGGAGAGGAGCCGACTCTGACTGCACCCTGGTGTGCAAATAATCTCTAAGCCAAATTAATAATTTTCCACGTGCACCAGGAGCCGGGGTTTCTTACAAAGGATATCATGATTTACCCTGTCAAAAGCCTTAGGAAAGTCAGGTGAACCAGTATGAATGGGCTTTTTCTTCTCGATAGGGAGTGTCCAGCTATTCCAAGCTTTCAACGAGTTAGTGTTACATGACCTTCTTGGTAGAAAGCCATGTTGACGGTCGTTTAGGGTTTATTTCTTAAATAAGTGATCACGAAGTGACCTTCGCAACTAAAGAGATAAGGGATATTGGTCTATAGTTGGAGGCGGGTAGTTTGTTTCCACCTTCGTAAATTGGGATGACAGCCACCCGTTTCCGATCAGAGGGTTACCTGCCTTCCAGAAACGAGCACTTGAAGAGGTCTGCCAGCAGGGCGCACAGAA